ACAAACCCCAGTGTGTGATGCTCCCCTCCCTGTGTCCATGTGTTCTCATTGTTCAACACCCGCCTATGAATGAGAACATGCAGTGTTTGATTTTCTGTTCTTGTGTCAGTTTGCTGAGAATGATGGTTTCCAGGTTCATCCATATCCCTACAAAGGACACGAATTCATCATTTTTTATGGCTGCATAGTATTCCATGGTGTATATATGCCATATTTTTCCTGTCCAGTCTCTCAACAATGGGCATTTGGGTTGGTTGAAAGTCTTTGCTGTTGTAAACAGTGGCACAATGAACATTCGTGTGCATGTGTCCTTATAATTGAATGATTTATAATCCTTTGGATATTTACTTCCTTTCCTTCTTCCCCTAAGTATTAGATGTTTAGTAAAATACATTTATGAGATTAATTGTAGGACTAATTTAGATAGCGCTACTTTGAAGACCATACTTAAGCATATACCTGGGAATTATTCCTCTTTCTCATTTTCACTTACTAGTTTTTTTTCTCTATGTGTCCTGTTTTACCTGCCTTACTTTTCAGAATGTTAGACTATCCTCACCTACGAAAAGACCATTTAATCCGTGAGTCTGGATTAAATAGCTATTGGAACTAATAAGTCTATAAATCAGAAAAGAAACAAATACTGACAGAGCCACTTTTAAAATTTTATGGTCCAATAAAACCATGTCATTCTAGAAGGAAAAGACATTTGAATATTTATTATAACTTTGAGTATACAAGATAATGTAGTGCAAAGTATTTGAAATAAACAGAACTGGCATCTTTGATTCCACCACCAAACACTTTTCTGATCTCAGGTGAATTATTAAACAGTCAACCTCATCATCTTCATGAGAAAAAATAGAGTTAATAAAAACATACCTTTCAGAATTTTAGAAGTACATTTAGAAAGACGTAAAATATGTTCCAGAAAATCGCCTTTCACATTGCAGGCAATCAATAATTTTAGTCTTTCCTTTCTTCCTGATGATCCCCTTCCCCATCTATCACCTTCTTTCATGTCTGGATCAACTATGTCAGGGAGAACAAAAATACTTATGGACCTCTGGGTTCAAGATGATGTGAGACTTCTTCATGTGAGACTTAATAAAAATGGATTAACCGTAAGTCTTTATTTCATTAGATGTCCTGAAAGACCAAAACTGGCTTTTTCTGGTTTCTGTGGGTCTCGATTTTCATAAAAATTATTTAGATTCATTTGTAAGATGCAAAATTAACATTTGTATAGTTCAAAAATTGCAGAATTTTTGAAATGGAAGGCACATTCAGGAGAAAAGAGATTAATAATTCAAACAGTCAACAACTTGTGAGTGCTTATTATGTACTAAGATTGGAGGTTTCTGTCCTTGTGAGGTTTATATTTTAGTGGGGCAGGTATACAATGGTCAGTTTTATTCAGCTCTTGTGCCCAAGAAAGAGCTGGTATTGACTGAGTGGTGAAGGAAAAACCTATCCAAGAAAGTTTCATTTAAACAGACACTTAACCACATGCAGTCAGCTGTATGAAGGACGGAAGAATTATGGCCAGAAATCACAAGTGTGAAGAGATTCACACTTATGATTTCTTGTACGGCCTGTTTGAAGGACCTCAAGCAGATTACTTAAATGTAGAAAAGGCGAAAGTGGTAAGGCATGAAGTCAGAAAGGTAAGCAGAGGCACACTGTGTAGGTCTTGAAGACATGGAGATATTGCTTGGATGTGTCTCCACACTCAAATCCCGTATTGAAATGTTATCCCCAGTGATGGAGGTGAGACTTGGTGGAAGGTGATTGGATCATGGGAATGAATTTCTTATAAACAGTTTCGCACCATCTTCCTGGGTACTGTCTTCACAATAGTGAGTAAGTCCTCATGAAATCTAGTCATTTACAAGTGTGAAGCACCTCCCTCCTCTCAATCTTCCTCCTGGTTTCACCACGTGATGTGCCTGCTTCCTTTGTGCCTTCTACCATGATTGGAAGTTTTCTGAGTCCCCCCCAGAGGCAGATGCTGCTATCCTTTCCGTACAGCCTGCAGAACCATGAACTAATTAAACCTCCTTTTAAAATAAATTACCTAGCCTCAGGTATTTGTTTATAGCAATGCAAGAACAACCTAACACACATGGTAAGTAGTTTGAGATGCAAGGACAACCTAACACACATGGTAAGTAGTTTTATCTTATGTGCAATGGGAAGCTGTTGGAAGACTTTGAGCATGAGAGTGACAGATATAATTTATAAATTTAAAAGGTAACTCTGGATGCTGTATGGAAAATAGATGGTCCATGGGCAAGAATGGAAGCTGGAAGGCCATTTAAAAGGTATTGCTGTATTTAAAAGTGAACGAAATGATTATTTGGATTAAGGTAGAAATAAGTGGTCGCATTTAGGTAGAGTCCATGAACTTAATTATGGATTGAAGTGGGGAGTGAGAAACCTCAAGAAACCAATTGTACTGCTAAAATTTGGGCTTCAGCAAATGGTTGGAAGTTACTGCCATTTAGTGTGATGGGAAAGTTTTGGAGAAAAGTAAGTTTGGGATCACAAGAATTCAATTTGAACTTGGTAAGTTAGAGATGATCATAAGACATTCAAGAAAACCTGTTGTCAAATAGTCAATCAGATACACAACTTGAGTTTGGGAGAATAGTCAGAGATGGAGATCTACATTGGTTGGCTGGCATTATGCAGATGGTTTTTAATGCCATGGACCTGAGTGAATTCTTCTAAGGAAGGACTGTAGTTAGAGAAGGGGTGAAGGTCAGAAACTGAGAACCAAGGAACTTTTAACATTTATCAATTGGAAGAAGAGGAGCTATCCAGAGAGTTTGAGGAGTACCAAACTATTGAGGTAGAAGAAACCCAGGCAGGACTAAAAGACAATCAGTAATAATTCAGAGATAATTCATGAAAAGTACTGAATACAATTTCAACAGAATGCCAAGAAAATGTCAGTTCATAAGTCTTAAAGGTCAATATTATGATAGAACCGATGCTGAATTTTTAATGATTTTGCTGGATTGAGACAGTATGTTCCTGATTAACATTATTCTATTCCAAAAGTCTGGCAGAAAACCTGAAATTCTGAAAAGAACTGGTAGAGAGAAAGAAAGAAAAATACGAAGGGAGAAGTCAGATGGTGGTGCTTTGAAGACCTTGCCTCAAGTATTTTCCCTGTCAGGGACACTAATTTTCACAAAGAAAATGAAACAAGGAAAAAGGTCATGTAGCTTCCTTTTTCTTGCGATTGCATATTCAAAACCCCTCATGCTTCTGCCAGTAGCTTCTTGCCACTTTCCAGGTTATTCATCTCCATTCTGGCTCTAGTTCCAAACCAAAATATGGAAGCAGAAGCTCTATACAGCAATTTAGGTGATAATGTAACTGCCTAAGTTAGTTGTACTTTGAAAATATATAATTAGCTCACTAAGGTTCAACTTACCCCATTACTCAAATGACTGATCCTCTTCAAGGGTTTCCGTATTATGTAACTTCTACCCATGAAAGAACAGACACGTGGGGAGCCTTGAGGAGTGCTTCAGAACATCAAAGTCCCAAGTGGATTCCTGCAGAAAATCGCTGATGAAATACAATTATGTGGCACTTAGCAATTCTCTTAAAAGGTGAAGAGAATTACACTATGAACTCTGATAAGAATAATCAAGAAGATTTTAGATTGAGCTAGACAACGAAAGACAGGCTTTGCAGTTAGTAGGAGGCTGGTTTAATTTCAAGCTCCACGACCTACTGGTAGTTTGACTTAGGAAAATCATGTGACTTTTGTAACCCTCAGTTTCCTTCCCTATAATGGGCTTTATGATAACACTTGCCTAAAAGGCCGGCACAAGAACTACATGACGTGTGTGTGTGTGTGTGTGTATGTGTAAAGAAAGAGCAAGAAAGTACTGAAAGTATTATGAGCTATCCTGTGTGCGAGGCACAGAAAGTACGTTATGCAAAAGTACCATAAGGCATTAGGAGTTTTCAATATGCAACTGCAAGGGAAAGCACCACAGAAAGTACTGTGCCTGGCACATAGGATAGGTCATAATATGATATAAGTGATTACCATTTTCCCATAGGAGGTAGGTAGCATTAACAGGGCTCATCACAAAGAGTGCCACTATGTGGCCTTAGCATATGTGGCCTCAGCCTCTTCCAGGTATCCTTCTCGGACTCTCTCTCTAGGACCAGATCTAAGCAGGAATGTCTGGAAACCTGTGTACTTTTCCCAACTTCCTTAAACACCCTTGCTTCCTTGTCTGTTCTGCACTTAGTTGTTTGGTTCTCGCTCAATCCATTCTTGTCTAATCCAAAATCATCTTTCAAGTGTTTGTACTCCTTACTGCCTGCTACTCAGCCTGCTCCAGTCAATTCAACCCCCTCATCTCACCCCACATTTCTCTGCTCAGTCCTGCTCAGTACCTTTACTTGCATTACCCAACAGCTACCTCATTGCTGAAAATTTCTCTCCTCCCATTTCTACAGTCAATTCTTTATTCATCTTAAAAAAAAAATTGAGATTAAATGCAACGTGGCATCCTGAATTAGATCCTGGAGCAGGAAAAAAGGACATTGATGGGAAAACTGGGGAAATCTCAATAAAGTAATATACCAACATTGGTTTTAATTCTCACAAATGCACCATGGTAATGTGAGATGTTAATATAAGGAGAAAACTAGGTGAGGGGCATACTGGAACACTATGCATTATCTTTGCAGCTTTTCTTTAAAATTACAATTATTCCAAAAATAGAAAGGTTATTATAAAAATGTACACCCTATCCTTTCTTGAAGACTTCCTTGTGTAGAACAACCCTCTTTTTCCTTAACTCCGTTCCTTGCATGCATTGCTTAACTACTCTGCACTTTAGTTTCTTCATCTGTAAGATGGGAACAGGCATAAACCACAATTAAAAGAAGGTCTAGGCAGAGGTATAGGTTGGTGCAAATGTAACTGTGATTTCAGACACGAATTTTAAATCATTAAACTAGGCTCAAACACATCTGTAGTAATTGAAATAGAAACGATTACAATCAACATATTTTTGCCAACAAGAAATAAGTTTGTTTATTCCTATAGCATAAAAATCCATGCTTCAGGATTCGACAAACTCTTGGAAAGCATTTTCTGCATCCTGCTGGTTGTGGAAGCTATCGAGATGCTTGAAGAAATGATGGTTGGTTGGCAAGAGGTTAAGTGAATGTGGCAAATGAGGCAAAATTTTGTAACCCAGTTAATTTAACTTTTGAAGCATTGGTTGAGCGACATGTGGTCTTTGCCATGGAGAAGAACTGGGCCCTTCTGTTGACCAGTGCCAACTGCAGGCATTCCAGATTTTGCTGCATCTCATCAATTTTCTGAGTGTATTTCTCAGATGTAGTGGCTTCGCTGGTATTTAGAAAATTGTAGGGAATCAGACCAGCAGCAGACCACCAACAGTGACCATGACCTTTCATTGGTGCAAGTTTGGCTTCGGGAGTGCTTTGAAGCTTCCTTTCGGTGCAGCCACTGAGCTGGTCATCACCAGTTGTCATATAAAATGCACTTTTTATTGCACGTCACAATCCGAGAAATGGTTTGTTGTTGTTGCATAGAATAAGAGAAGACAACACTTCAAAACTATGCATTTTTATTTTTCACTCAGCTCCGGAGGCACCCACTTATTGAGTTTTCACCTTTCCAATTTGCTTCAAATGCCAAATGACCACAGAACGGTCTACGTTGAGTTCTTTGGCAACTTCTCCTGTAGTCGTAAAAAAATCAGCTTCCATGATTGCACTCAGTTGGTCATTGTCAACTTCCAATCACTGACCACTGTGCTCCTCAACTTCAAGGCTCTTGTCTCCTTTGCAAAACTTCTTGAACCACCACTGCACTGTACGTTCATTAGCAGTTCCTGGGCCAAGGTGCTGTTGATATTGCAAGTTGTCTCTGCTGCTTTATGGCCCATTTTGAACTCGAATAAGAAAATTGGTCAACTTTGCTTTTTGTCTAACATCATTTCCATAGTCTAAAATCAACATAAAATAAACAGTAAGTAATAAGTCATTGGCAAAAAGAAATAAAGTGAGAAGTGCCCATTAAAATGATGTATAACATAACCACATTTATTTAAGAAGATATTCCAATATCAAATGTCAAATTCCAACAATCCAAAAATTGCAATTACTTTTGCACTCACCTAATATTATGCTGTGTGTGTGTGTGTGTGTGTGTGTGTGTGTGTGTGTTTATGTGGGTAGAATAACCTCTGGAGCTGCTAAATAGCAGAGCTGAAATTTGCACCTATATTGTCTACTTTGAGTCTTTCCTCTTAATTATTAAGTTATATCACCAGTGGAAACATAATGTAATTTATGTTGTAGCCATTTGTATAGAATGCATGCAAAACAACCATAAGAGCAAACAGCCAGGGTCATCTCTGAGCTAAAGTATTATGAGTAATTTTCATTGTTTTATTTTCCTTTCTTTGTTTTACTAATGTTCTACAAAAACATATTCCTTGTGATGAGTAAATAATTATAAGCAACAAACTCATCATAGTGGTTGCCTCTGAAGACAGAGTGACAGAAATGGGACTCAAGGTAAGAGTTGAGAAAGATTCTCATTATTTCTTAAAAATAAAAAGTAAATCCTATATAATGCCAAAAGGTGTTACTTCTAATCTATGGACTGAGCAAAACTTAGGGGCCATAAGTAAGAAACAGAATTTTGGGTGTCATCCATTTATCTTATTTAATTTGTTTTAAAAGTAAAGATAATCTAAGTGCTAACTATTAACACAGTGATGATTCTAGTGCTGGTTGGAAACATCAAATTATTTCAAAAAAATTATATCAGTGCCTCTGTATTGCTGATAGGGTTCACAAACATTTTTCTGCCTAATGGATAATTTGGCTCTCCCAAAATTGCTGCTTCTACACATGTTCCAGCTATAAAAGGGTAGCTTTCTATGTGAGAAGATGTCTTCATCGAGTTTCCCAACTGCTAAAGCATATGGTGTACAATAAAATGGTAACATGAAATAACTGTATTACAATAACTCTTTAGGAGTAAAATCTTATAGTTGCCGAAAACCTTTTAAAAACTAAATGTAAGAAAGTGCTATTTATGAAAGTCACCTAGACATTCTGTGATCTAATCCAGAATTAAATCTGTTTTATATCGACTCCAAGTGTCTATAGTCACTTGCCCTTTAGCATGAAGTAATTGGTTACATCAAGGGATGTTATAAGAAGCAACTCAGCACTGCCGGTATTGTAAGGATGTTTTTGAGTGTGTTAATCATTTTAATTTACATACAGACCTAGAGGAGAAGTTCTACTCTGACATTTTTACCAGAATATTTCCTGAACAACAGTTTTATTTTTCATCTTATGAACACTATGAATTCTATATTTGCTTGTGCATTCTTTTCTCATCTGGCTGTTAAAAAATTTTTAGGATCAAATGTGTGACTTAAAAAAAAATTTAGAATATCTGCATGACATTAACACTGGCAAAAAATGTCTTCAACAGGACACAAAAAGCACTAGACTTAAAAGAAAAGATTGATAAACTGGACCTCATTAAAATTAAACTTTCTGTTCATCAGAAGATATTATTATGATAATGGAAAGACAAGTCATAAGCGAAAGATGATATTTCTAAGACATATATCTAGCAAGCAACCAAGTTAAACATGGACAAGAGACTAAAGAAAAAACGACTTCACAAAAGAAAATACCAAAATGGCCACTAAACATTGGAAAACATACTAATTGTTAGTTATCAGAGAAATGTGAAGTAAAAGCACAATAAGATACCATGACCCACCCATGAAAATGGCTAACCTTAAAACTGGGAACACAAATTATATGAAGATATGAGCAATGGTAACTCTTCTATATTGCTGATCAAAGTACAAGTCAGTATAACAACTTCAGAAAATTACTTGACAGGACCTACTAATCTAAAATATTATGCAGTAATTCCACTCCTGGGAATATATCCCCCCCAAAAAAGTGGTTTTATTCACATGTACATGTACAAAAATATTCATAATAGCTTTATTTATAATAGGCCAAAACTTGAAACAACCAAATGTTCAACAATAGTAAAATGTATAAATTAATTGTCATATGTTCATATAACAAAACGCTACACAAAAGTGAGAGAAAAATGAATCTTACAGACATTCTGTTGAGCACAAACAGTCAGACACAAACTGTATAATGCCATTTATATGAAGTTTGAAAATAAGCAAAACTAACATATAATAAAAGTCAGAGGCCGGGCGCGGTGGCTCACGCCTGTAATCCCAGCACTTTGG